TTATTCAACAGTCACACCCGTTTCCTCTGGCAACAGCACCACGTGGTACAGTTACCGAGTGAAACGTACACAATAACACAATAATCACTCAGGGAATTCCCGTACACACACAGCTGTTACACCAGTCACTAAATAATCAATATTATGCCCTTTGGCGAAACTATACAGTCACCCACGCTATAATTCTCTATATATGAATTACCCGTCTATAACACACCCCAGTAACATCGTCTTTTACTAGTATCGGTTACAGTACGGTTAGCATAGGTCAAAGCACAATTTAAGGTCACAATACAATTATTAGTGGTTACGGTGTTAAACATGCAATAGACGACAATGATTAGTACTTATATACAGTGTCAGTAAATATACAGGGTTATGGTACCGTGCACTATGATACAGCAACACACTATTAACACTCTCGCTAGACGGCTGAGCTCGCGCTATCTAACAAGATATACACTTTACTAACAATCTTTAACACATTTACAATCCCAACTAAACTATTGGCCAGTACCTTGAATGGACTACCTAAAACTATATACACTCGTTTTGGTTAGCCACACTGCCCAAACACCACATATAGCGAACTAGAGGGCGAAATTTACAAAATTGCCCTTCTAGTCTATTTACTCTATCAAAAGTCTAGTGGGTTCCAAATTTACACGCCTTCCCACTTAGCCAAGATAGGTTGAGAGCTAGCGAACCGAATTTACACAGGCGCCGCTTAGTCTCCCGGTCCCTCCGACCTAGCGAACGTAATATACACCCTAGAACGCTAGTCTAGACAAGACACCGGTGTCCGGCTAGGGCTATTTACACAGGACCCCGCCTGACTAACCAGATCAAACGGTCTTACTAAAGAGCGTTCGATCGAGCGGTGCGCCTTCGCTCCTTCCCTCCGACAGAGGGGGCAGATTCCATACACAGATTTAAACCCCTTTTGGGCCTACCGCACAATCGGTATACCCCTAGTGGGTCTGCCGTCTAAAACAGCAGTTGTCTTACCTCCTCGTTCCTGAACCTGAGTTCACACTCATCGACGGGGACACCCCAGCACTTCTTACGTAGAGGCCGATGATCTCCTGGACAACAGACCAGTGGCGCCGAGACGAAGGGAGGTCCACGCAGAAGTTCAGGGGTGCAGCCGTAGAGAACGTGGGCAAAGATAGACCGTCTCACGCCTCTGCCTCTCAGCTACCGTTGAACGATGAGCTTCCCGGCCAATGCACCAAATGATACCGGAGAAACTGACGGAAGCAAAGCACAGAGGGATGGACACAGGTTTCTTCAGGAAGGAAGAGATTCTTTATTGGATCACCGATCGGGACTCAGAGGGACTAATGTCACCAAAAATACAGCAAGTTCTGAGCCCTGAACAATAGTGCAGGCTCCCTATATAGGCACATAACTCCTCCCATATTAAGCTCCACCCGCACATTCTCTTGACCAATCATTACAAATAAGAATTAACTTCCTGCTTGACCGCATGGCTTGTCCAGCACAATGGAGGAGGGGAATACTACATCCTGTATTCTTGCACATGCTCCGTACACTACTGATCGTATCTTGCCTCGTGCAACCAACTGATCGATACGTCAGCATATGCACGTACACATGCCACGTGGTAATCTCGGCCTACTAAATTTATTTTTACCGAGATTCCACCACAATATTAATAGTAAAATACACCTAGACTGTGTACGTGTGTGTATGTATGTGTGTGTGTATATATATATATATATATATATATATAAATATATATATATGATCTAAGTATATATTATTATTTTTTTTTACACTTTTTACTTTTATTTATTTTTAGCCAGCAGGGGGACCACCTGTCATTACAGGCAGCCCCCCTGCTGGCAATACAGGAGGCAGCTATCTCGGCCATGTGATTGTGAGGTCCTCGCAAGGACATCACTCTCACATGGCCGGGGGGCACCGGAGGAGGAGGATCTGCCGCGGGGGGGCTCCTTGGGAGTCCCCCCCACCGCGATCGCCGGCGACCGGGTAAGTAAGGAAAGACCGGAGGGCGTACTATTACGTTTAGAGACGCCTAAAATAGGGCGTAATAGTACGCCCTCCAGTCTTAAGGGGTTAACCCCTTCAGGATGGGGTGAATAGTGCACGTTCTGATCAAAACAAAACGTAAACATCAACTGGAATTCACGTCTTTCATATTAAATGCACCCACACTTATTATATATCATTTTATTCAGGAGAAACAGGGCTTTAATTTATCATTAACTATTCATATATGGAACATAATTTATTATGAATAAAATTTTAAAAAATGTGAAAAAATAAGATTTTTTTTTTAAAATTTGTATTTCCGTCTGACATATTAGCTGTTAATGTCATAATACTGTTTACTGCAAAAAAAATGCCCATATTTGTAATCAGCGATGTCTCACGAGTCCAACAGTACCCCCATTAACATGTTTTATGGTGTTTTGGAAAGTTACAGGGTCAAATATAGAACGTTCCATTTTCAAATTGAAATTTGCCAGATTAGTAATGTTACCTTTGAGACGGTGTGGTAGCCCAGGAATGAGAATTACCCCCATAATGGCATACCATTTGAAAAAGTAGACAACCCAAGGTATTGAACGTGGGGTATGTTTAGTCTTTTTTAGTAGCCACTTAGTCACAAACACTGGCCAAAGTTAGCGTTCATATTTGTTTTTGTGTGAAAAAAGCAAAAAACTAATATTTGGCCAGTGTTTGTGACTAAGTGGCTACTAAGAAAGACTGGACATACCCACTTGCAATACCTTGGGTTGTCTACTTTTGCAAATGGTATGCCATCATGGGGGTAATTCTCATTCCTGGGCTACTATATGCTCTCAAAGGCAACATAACCAAACTGGCAAATTTCAATGTCAAAAAAATGAAATGCAAGCCTTATATGTGACTCTCTAACCTTCCAAAACACCATAAAACCTGTACATGGGGGGTATTGTTATTCTCGGGAGACTTCACTAAACACAGATATTAGTGTTTTAAAACAGTAAAACATATTACAACAATAATATAGTCCATAAAAGTGCAGTTCGTTTGTAAAAAATGCAAAAAACATCACTTTTACTTAAAATATCATCGTTTTAATACAATTTACCAGTTTGAAACACTAATATTTGAGTTCAGCTAAGTCTCCTGAGTAAAACAGTACCCCCTATGTACAGGTTTTAGGGTGTCTTGGAGAATTACAGGATCAAATATAGTGCTTGCGAATTAAATTCTCTGCACTTTCTCCCTGTGTTGTCAGGCATGTCAATCAAATTTTAATTAATCAGATCACATAATTATGTTAAAAGATTACTTAAATATACATGTAGAATTTTAATATATATGCATTTATAGGTATTTAAATTCTACGTGTATACTAATGTAATCTTTAATGTAATTATGTTTTTATCTATATATATTTGCGGTTATTTGTATTTTATATACAGATAGATTTTTTTTATATAGAATGTCATTCTAAGTGTATTTTGTTACATATATATAAATATATTAATAACAAAATACAGTTAGAATGAAATTACATATGAATATATAATTTATATTAAATTTTGTTTCAATATTTTATTTATTATTGTAATTATACGTATATATCATTCTAAGTGTATTTTAATAATATATGTACTTATATTAATAAAATACACTATGTATGACGTTACATATATATACACACACACATATTTCTAATTTAATACGTCTAATTATATTTTATTCTTCTTCCCACCAGCAGGGGGACTGTCTGAGAGCTCAAACAGTCCCCCTGCTGGCAGATCCACAGCCAGCTATAGGGGGACACATTTGCCGGGGTAGGGCTGCCTGGGCTGTCAGGCAGCCCTCCAGAAGAGGATCGCAGCGGAGTTAAGTCCACCGGACCACCAGGGGCTGCAAGCCGTTACGTCGTTCTATGCCGCCGCAACGGCTTTAAAGCCCTTTTAATGCGGATCGGCATAGAACGCCGTAACGGCGTTAATAAAGGGACACTATAGTCACCAGAACTACAACAGCTTATTGAATTTGTTTTGGTGAGTAGAATCATTACCTTCAGGCTTTTTGCTGTAAACACTGTCTTTTCAGAGAAAAGGTAGTGTTTACATTACAGCCTAGGGATAACTTCACTGGCCGCTCCTCAGATGGCTGTTAGAGATCCTTCCTGGGTCATGGCTGCCTAAAATGCATCCAAACATTCAGTATCTCCTCCCTCTGCATGCAGACACTTAACTTTCCTCATAGAGATTCATTGATTCAATTCATCTCTATGAGGAGATGCCGATTGGCCAGGGCTGTGTTTGAATTGTGCTGGCTCTGCCCCTGATCTGCCTCCTTTTCAGTCTCAGCCAATCCTATGGGGAAGCATTGTGATTGGATCAGGTTACCACTTCTGATGATGTCAGCAGACTGTTAGTTTTTCTGAGTCTAACAGCATGCAGAGCTACAGTTTCAGGCTTGAATATAGTAAGATTTTGCTATATTTATGGAGGCATGAGGGGCGCAAGGAGTCTAGATGGTGGTTTTAACACTATAGGGTCAGGAATACAGGTTTCTGTTCCTGACACTAAAGTAATCCTTTAAGATTAAAATACACTTAGTGTATATTCTATATAAACTTAGATTCATTATAAACTTTAATTTTAAGAAGCAGCAGGGGGACTACCTGTCATTCCAGGCACGCCCCCTGCTGTGGATAGCTATTCCATCCATGTGATCGTGAGGTCCTCGCGATCACCTGGCCCAGCAGTAAGTCCCCCCCCCACTGTGATTAGCGCTGAGCAGGTAAGTTCATCGGATGCCAGGGATGGGCTATGCCACCCGTCGGCGTTTAGAGCCAGGTCCCTGAGTGCGGCATAGCACACCCACTGTCCTTAAGCGGTTAAAGGGATACTCTAGTGCCAGCAATACAACTGTATTCCTGGTACTTTCAATCTCTCTGCCTCCCCGGTAAATAAAGTGTTAAAAACATACCTTATCCCAGTGCCGATGTCAATCTCCATAGGGGGAAAAAAATAAATAGTTCTGACACTGAAGGTCTTAATGCAAAGCATGAGGAGGTTCAGCATCAGACAACAGACCAAAAGTCTGTTAAGATTCCGGAAGCGTCCCCAGTGGCAATCTGGTAGACCACTGAGGGCAGACTTAAGGCTGCAATGTAAACACTGCAGTACCAGGTGAAAAAGGGACAGCACCCACACCAGCTCAATGAGCTGAAGTGGTCTGTGTGCCTACAGTGTCCCTTTAACATAGAAAAAAAGGCTTTGCCCTCATCAACCAATACAGTGAGACGGCACCATGCACTGATTAGCCAGACTACTACACCAGTCTTAATATTTTGTAGATTCTTGGCGGTTTCAAACTGTATATGAAAACAAAGACAAACATGTTCCCATAGAGATAGTAAACTGATTGGATAAGCAAAACTCATTAAAGGGACACTCCAGGCACCCAGACCACTTCTGCCCATTGGAGTGGTCTGGGTGCCATCTCCCACTACTCTTAACCCTGCAAGTGTAATTATTGCAGATTTTTGTAATCACTGGGAGGAGCGGCGGAGGAGGAAGCAGCGACGCGGGACATGTCGCTGAATCTGGTAAGTAACTGAAGTGGTTTTCACCCCTTCAGCTACCGGGGATTGGGAGGGAGAGGGGCCCTGCAGTGCCAGGAAAACTGATTCATGCCTCCATAAATATAGCAAAATCATACTATATTCAAGCCTGAAGCTCTGCATGCTGTTAGACAGAAGAGGTAACCTGATCCAATCACAATGCTTCCCTATAGGATTGTTTTCCTGGACACCCCACTGCACAAAAAAAACAAAAAAAACGCATTTTCCCATTTGGCTAATATCTAAAGCCAGTTTGCAATAGCAACAACTCATGCACAGCCTTTGCAAGCCCTCTTCTAACCCTGCCCAGTCACAGATTTCCCAATGCAGCTCAGTAAGAATTCTTTACAAGGCAGGTGCTCTGAGGAATTGCTGCCTCTGGAGTTTATCTTCACGGAGCTAAAACCAGGAAGTAACAGGACTTCAGCAAGTTAACCCATTAAGGACCAAACTTCTGGAATAAAAGGGAATCATGACATGTCACACATGTCATGTGTCCTTAAGGGGGTTAAAAGGCTTTATGGGTCTAGAGTCTCTAATAAAGGGGCACATAGCCCAATCTTTGTAACAGGTCATTACACAGAGTACGGACAAGAAAGCACAGCGCGAGTTTGAGGTTTTACAAAGTTTATTTGAACTGAAATATCATCCGCTTCAGAACTTCTGGAACTGCTTTTTTGTTCCTGCAGCTTTTGTAACTTTGAGGACATTGAAACGGACCGTTTTACTGAGAGGACGGCACTCACCAACGGTCACAATATCTCCGATCTGGACATCTCTGAAAAACCAAGAATAGGTGTATTAACACAATACTAAAGCAGTCTGCCCAGTCCTAGACAAGAGATATCCAGAGTTTTAAAAACTGCACTTTAAAGGCTTCATATTTCTGTAGGTGACGGAACCAACATTTCACAAGGCTAGTATGACTCCTCCAAACATCCAGAGCACCCCAACACCAACTGAACCCCAATATTAGGAAAGACAACGGGCAGAGGGCGTGCGGTGCCTGAGGTGACAGTCTTACACAGAAAAACAGCAACCATCAAAACATTCGGCACCTGACATTTGCAACCCTACGTACCTGAAGCACGGTGAGAGATGGACAGACATGTTCTTGTGGCGTTTCTCGAATCTGTTGTACTTGCGGATGTAATGCAGATAGTCTCTGCGGATGACAACAGTGCGCTGCATCTTCATCTTTGTGACCACACCTAATGGAAAGAAAGTTAATATGAGGACTGTCACAAAGCTAGAATTAGACAGCAGGGACATCTCACCTGATCTGCCTCATACATGCAAACCAGAAGCACTGCACAAGTAAAATACATACAGTCACCATAGGTGACATTTAAACTATGAAAAACCCGGTCATTAGAACATGTGATTTTAGAGAGCACGGTGATACCCAGTTTAAAGACATTACTAGAGGATCATAGATCAAAGAATTTTACTTGATATATTAAGGGGGAGTCTAAAAACACATCAGCTGACACACTGAGGAGCAAATATGGTGTCCAAATAATGACAAAACGGATATTGCTAATGAGGAAGAGTAACAACGATTGCCGAGAGAACTGACATGCATCAAAGACCTTTAGGAAGGATTACTTTACTGAGAGCACAGTGGATGCATGGAATAGCCTTCCAGTTGAAGTTGTAGAGGTTAGAGGGACATTGTATGCGCCCAGACTGCTTCAGCTGACTGAGGTGGTGTGGGTGCTGTGTCCCTTTTGCACTTAGTGCTGCAACGTTAAAAACATTGCCGTTCCAGAAAACTGCAATGTTTACATTGCAGCACCAAGTCTGCCCTCAGTTGCTGTCTTCCAGAATCCAAACTGACTTTTGGTCTGTTATCGGACGCTGGACGTTCTCACCTCTGCACGAGGACCTCCAGTGTCAGATTTTTCCCCATCGGAAAGCATTGATTCAATGCTTTCCTATGGGGAGGTCTAATGCGTGCGCGGCCTTTGCCATGCATGCACATTAGACCCAGCTTGTCGCTGGGTTGGAGGTGGCAGAGCTTCGACCCAGCACAGAGGGACAGAGACGCTGGGATCAGGCAAGTAAATAAGGTTTTTAACCCTTTATTTACCAGTTAGGAGGGGCGCGGGGGGATCGGTAGTGCCAGGAATACAACTTTCTATTCCTGGCACTACAGTATCCTTTTAACACAGTGAAGGACAAGGCACGCTTACCACCAAAACATAGCACAGTTATGGTACATAATGTTCCTTTAAACCATGGCAGCTTGTACAATACACAGAAAACTGACATCATTCAACATCCTCACCTGACAGGATGCGGCCTCGGATGGACACGTTACCAGTGAAGGGACATTTCTTGTCAATATAGGTTCCATCGATTGCCTGAAATTACACATAAAGTGTTACTGTCACCCTGTATGGTGCGCAGGACAATAAAAAAAAAATCCCCCATCGCACACCGAGCCTACAATGCAGGACACATTCCGAGGTATTACTGTGTCAATGTAAGTACCCAACACACAGGCTCAGTGTCAATCAAGGAGGGCGAGCAGTGACTACACAACACCACTAAGATTAGCAGGTGGAGGATTTTTGTTTACGTTTTACATTATTTTAAGCATCACCCTTTATTCACAAAAAACAAAAAAACAAAGTGCAGTTCCAGATAGTTCTAGATCAGAAATTGACAGAATATTGTACCGAAAAGATTACGCCAATTTCTACAGATTAGAGATGTGTCCAGGCTACGTCACACATTCTGCAACAGACTGTCCTCGATCAGATCAATTGATAAACCGCATTATGAAAATACCTCTCTGGGCGTCTTGAATCCCAGCCCGATGTTCTTGTAATAACGAGGGAGTTTCTCTTTGCTAGTCTCTCCCAGAAGAACCCTCTTCTTGTTCTGGAAGATGGTTGGCTGCTTCTGATAAGCCCTCTCAGTCTGTGGAAACAAATGGAGTGTAAGTCAGCATTCACTGGACGGCTCACATCCCACAAACAGGGCCGGACCGGGGCCGCCCTCCGCGCAGAGATACATGGGCCGGACCGGGGCCGCTCGGATCTGCTGAAGGTGTGCAGTTTAAGCCCAAACACTGGCAGGAAATATTGAGAGAGCAAACATGTCTCCAGGCACCCGGGGGGGACCACCACATCTCCAGGCTCTAGAGGGGACCCCCACAACCACCCTGTCTCCTGGCACCCGGGGCCCCCCACATCTCCAGGCTCTAGAGGGGACCCCCACAACCACCCTGTCTCCTGGCACCCGGGGCCCCCCACATCTCCAGGTACCCAGGGGACCCCCACATCTCCAGGCTCTAGAGGGGACCCCCACAACCACCCTGTCTCCTGGCACCCGGGGGCCCCCACATCTCCAGGCTCTAGAGAAGACCCTCACAACCACCCTGTTTCCAGGTACCCGGGGGGACCCGCACATCTCCAGGCTCTAGGAGGGACCCCCACAGCCACCTTGTCTCCAGGCACCTGGGGGGACCCCCACATCTCCAGGCTCTAGAGGGGACCCCCACAGCCACCCTGTCTCCTGGCACCTGGGGGCCCCCACATCTCCAGGCTCTAGAGAGGACCCCACAACCACCCTGTTTCCAGGTACCCGGGGGGACCCCCACATCTCCAGGCTCTAGAGGGAACCCCCACAGCCACCCAGTCTCCAGGCACCCGGGGCCCCTCTCTCCCCCCGGATACAGCGCGCTCCCAGGGGCCCCTCCCCCCCCTGTATTTGGCTCCCAGGGGCCCCTCTCTCTCTCTGAATTTGGCTCCCAGGGGCCCCTCTCTCTCTCTCTGAATTTGGCTCCCGGGGGCCCCTCTCTCTCCCCGAATTTGGCTCCCGGGGGCCCCTCTCTCTCTCCCCGAATTTGGCTCCCGGGGGCCCCTCTCTCTCTCCCCGAATTTGGCTCCCGGGGGCCCCTCTCTCTCTCCCTGTATTTGGCTCCCCGGGGCCCCTCTCTGTATTTGGCTCCCGGGGGCCCCTCTCTCCCCATATTTGGCTCCCGGGGGCCCCTCTCTCTCTGTATTTGGCTCCCGGGGGCCCCTCTCTCTCTGTATTTGGCTCCCCGGGGCCCCTCTCTCTCTGTATTTGGCTCCCGGGGGCCCCTCTCTCTCTGTATTTGGCTCCCGGGGGCCCCTCTCTCCCTGTATTTGGCCCCCGGGGGCCCCAGATCCCGCCGCTCCAGCCGCAGCCCCCACCTGTATGTCCGCCATGTTCTCCGGCCGGATGGAAAGAGAGCGAGCTCGGCACGGGGTCTCCTTAAACTGGGCAGGGACCGGAACTGGCGTCACTTCCGCCCGACACTGTCTGCTTCCGGTGCGGCCATGGGCGCCGCCATTACTGGCAACCGGGGGCCCCCATTAACTGCACCAGGGGCCCCTATACCGCTCCTGGGGGCCCCTATACCGCTCCTGGGGGCCCAGCGGAAATGGAGACTAACTGAGACCCGTCTGGCCTGTTATTGTTTATTATTAATTAATTATTTTATTTAGGACACAATATATTTCATGCTATAAATTTTTATTATTATTCATTAATTATTAATTATTTGTTATATTTTATTATTTATTTATTATTTATTAATTAATTATTGTTTATTTATTATTATTATTATATTATTTATTTATTAATTAATTATTGTTTGTTATATTTTATTTAGGACACAATATATTTCACGCTATAATATAAATATTTATTATTCTCAGTTGATCCCTCCGGTGACACTGCGCTGTAATAAACGTCACATAATCGCTTCGCTCCCGGAATACAGCCACATCATGGTTAGACAAACAAACGTCAGCACCAACAATATGAGCTCCAGGAAATTGGGCCGAACGTCTGAATGACATTAATTAGCACAACCAATAAAGGTTAAAAGACACGAGTCACCCGGGTCATGTCATCGAAGCCATAAGGCAGCACAGGCGGCCACCTCGGGCGCAATCTCCAGGTGACCAGCATGAAGGAAGTGCCCAGCACAGCGCTCCCCTCCTGCAAGTCACTTCATGTAGCGTAGTCGCACGGACCACAGTGAAGGATCTAATGTGTCTCCAACCTGGTCTGATAGGAAGTGCTCACACAGAGCAACAAACAGCCCTCTGTCAGACCGGGTACAGGATACGGAAAATCCTCCACTGCGGGATGCACGGCCACGCTACAAGGAGGCAAGCAGGAGGGAGACTCCGTGCTGGAAAAGGGTAATTAAAAACCTTGATTGTATTAATTATTAGTGGAAAAGAGGTGCTGGGACAGGTCTGTATTCCTAACACTTTGTGTTCGTTTAATAAGGTGGTTCTGGTGGAAAGAGACTGTCCGTGCAGTCTCAGAGAAAAGGCAGTGTTTACATTGTCATTGAGACAATCAGCCACTGGAGGTGTTTCTTGTAGTCCTGAAATCTCCTGCGTTCTGTGATACTGCAATTAAACCAATGCATCTCTGTGAGATGTGCAGTAGCCCCCATATCCCTACCTTCACCTGTCCCTCATTAGCTGTCCCCTCATATAACACTACTCTCACCTCTGCCCTGGACACTGCAGCCCTGCTCCAGACATTTTTCAGAGTATACAATACAAACAGCATACCAACATAGAAATATACAGATAAATAATAAAGAAAATGTGCATCTTAATGTTACGTTACACTATACTCCTTATTAGGTTATTAAAACCATTCAACATTTTACAACTGTCTGCCATTGCTTTTGGGGTGCCCCAACAGCAATCTTCATCATGCATAACATTTGGGGTAATTGAGAAAACATGAACAATTTTTGTAATGTAAACATGAGCAGGTAGATATGTCAGAAGACAACAATAAACATGAAGAGAACAAGCTATGCAAACTGACATTAAGATTAGATAAAATGTAAACATCATATATGGTCTGTGATAAGAGCCGCCCGGTGTTTATCAGGCGTGCTGGTATGTTAGCTATTGGCAAATTAAAGGCAATGTGCCACAGGGTTAATTAAGCATAGTGGACATTACACACTATATGAGACTCCATAACTAAGATGAATCTGCTGTAGTAAAGCACTAAGGCTAAACACATAAATGTAAAAGTAAGACCGTGCTTCCAAAGTATAGCGAAATAATTAAGGCTGTACTTAAGGGCCTTGAAGAGGAACAGCATCCAGTCTAAACCAGGCTTCAGTCTAAACCACACATAGGATTTAGTTGGGAACCAGCTCTGCCATCAGGCACCGAGTGTTGCATTGCTCCTTCACAGCTTCTAAAGCAAAAGCACACGCCGCGTATATATATGTAGGTTTGTGTATATATATACACACACATACACTGCTGTGAGGGTGCTGGTAGTGTGCTATGTGAGTGAGGGTGTTTGTGTGTGTATGCTGTGTGAGGGTGCTGGTAGTGTGCTATGTGGGTGAGGGTGTTTGTGTGTGTATGCTGTGTGAGGGTGCTGGTAGTGTGCTATGTGAGTGAGGGTGTTTGTCTGTGTGTGTATGCTGTGAGAGGGTGCTGGTAGTGTGCTATGTGGGTGAGGGTTTTTGTGTGTGTGTGCGCTTGTGAGGATGCTGGTAGTGTGCTATGTGGGTGAGGGTGTTTGTGTGTGTGTGTATGCTGTGTGAGGGTGCTGGTAGTGTGCTATGTAGGTGAGGGTGTTTGTGTGTGTGAGCGCTTGTGAAGGTGCTGTTAGTGTACTGTGTGTGAGGGTACTGGTAGTGTGCTATGTGTGTGTTTGTTAGGATCCTGTTAGTGTGCTGTGTGAGGGTGCTGTTTGTGTTTGTGAGGGTACTGTTAGTGTGCTGTGTGTAAGGGTGCTGTTTGTGTGCTGTGTGTGTGCGAGGGTGCTGTTTGTGTGCTGTGTGTGTTTGTGAGGGTGCTGTATGTGTGTAGGTGCTGTATGTGTGTGTGTGGATGCTGTGTGTGTGGGTGCTGTGTGGGTGATGTGTGTTCTGTTTGTGTGAGGATGCTGTGTGTGTGTGGGTGATGTTTGTTTGCTGTATGTGTGTGTGTGCTGTGAGTGCTGTATGTGTGTGTGCTGTTTGTGTGCTGTATGTGTGTGTGTGTGCTGTTTGTGTGCTGTATGTGTGTGTGTGTGCTGTATGTTTGGGTGATTTGTGGGGGTGGAGGTGGGGGCAGATTAATTACTAAATATCCCCCCTCCCTTCTTACCTTATGTAGGGAGGGGGGACCGTGCTGCTGCCTTCCCTGGTGGTCCAGTGGAGGTCGCGGCAGATTACTTAATATTCCCCCTCCCTTGTTACCTTAAGCCAGGGAGGGGGAGCGGCCACGCTCAGATCTCGCGAGAGGAACCCGGCGGAGCTGCTGGCAAGAGCTCCCCGGGTCCTCTCCTACCTCCCTCCCTGCCTGTGGGTCGGTGGGGAGGGAGGCTGAGAGGAGAGCCGGTGCTCGAATAGCGCTGGCTCTGCATGAGCCGACAGGGGAGATCCTGAGATCTCCCCTGCCGGTCTCAATACATAGGCAAGCCGCGGGGATTAGGGTGTGCCCAGGTACACCCCGTGTGCACGCCTATGGTAAGGTCTGGTTTATTGAGCACAAAGGCATTTCTTTTATACACATTTTCAGGCCAGGGGCACACCCCTGGACCTGATGGAACACAGGGACAAAAGGGACACAAACCAATGGGAACAATAATTAACACAGTAACACTCCCACATACAGTCAGCAATCCCTCCCATCTGCCTGTGATATAATTAACCTAGCTAATGGAATCACCCAAACATACATCACACACACACACACACACACACATACAGCACACACACACACACACACACACACATACATACAGCACACACACACACATACAGCACACACACACATACAGCATACAAACAGCACACAAACACAGGCAGAAAATATAAATTTTTAACAAAGTTCAGAAACACCCCAAAACTCAAAGCACTTTTAAATGTGAGTTCTTTACCTTCTACTATTATTTTACCCTCTGGATTTTAGACGTATTGCACTACTGGCTGCCCCGTCTCCTGGTTTTTCATATATGCGAATACCCTGAGACACTAGGACGCACCCACTTCTACTAAAAGTCTACTCAACTATATCCCATCAAGCACAGTAACTCTACTGAGACTCCATTGGACTATTTTACACTATTTTATTTATTTATTATTTGTTACTGGCGCAGCCTTACCCCACTTCTTTAGATCTATAAGATTAGACAGGAAGAGGCTAAGCAAGTTATAAGAGCCTCCAAATCACACACAGAAGAGAAAATAGCAAAGTCAGTAAAAAAGGAGGATAAAACATTTTTCAGATACATAAATGAGAAAAGGAAAGTAAAACAAGGATTAGTTAGATTAAAAACAGAAGAAGGAAGGTATGTAGAAGAGGATAAATTATACATCCCTGGATAGCTCTGATCTGGGCGAACAACATATCCCAAAATCATCCAGATCAGAGCAGGGGTTCCCAAATTCTGTGGAAGTCACATTTGACCGACCGCATGCTTGATTTCACGCCCAAAAGAGTTCCAGAGAATTAGACTGTGCGGCCGGTCTATCTTCTATTCCACATAATGTATAAATTGCATGAACGGATCTGTTCATGCATTACTCCATTGGATGCATCTTGTTCGGTAGAGTGTTCTCAAGAAATAGTGCTCTGTTTGTGTGGATTTTAGCCGAACGCACGAATGTGGAAGTCACAGCGGTGTTCGTGCCTTTGAGTGTCCAATTTTAGTTCCAGGCGTTCGACGACAAAACACCACTGAGCGCGTTCGGCTAAACAAAGTGGCCGCCGCCACGTGTTCATTCATACGAACAATGACTACCCAGCCGTTCGTCAATTATGCTGCAGTTAACCACAGCTTCTGGGTGGTTAACAAGCAGCACACTCAACATGTAGGGTGGTCAGCCGTTTGGCAGTTTGTTTGTGTGCTTGAATAACATTATCCTGGCTGTAATAGCAGTATAATTCACCAAACCAATCCACGAATACACAAGGGAGAATATAAAATCCAAGCAATGACAAGGGGAAAACATACATAAATTCAAGAAGGAAAATATATGGTTTTAAACTATAAAAATGTTGTTTATAATATAGAGATCCAAACCCATCTGACCCGGTGATTTCCCTGTGTAGTTTTAATAGCTGGTAGCAATTCTTCTTCTGTTATATTCTAAGAGAGAAGACTGGAACGTGAAGAGTCTTGGATAATAGGCAAAAAAAGGGGGTAACACTAAGTAAAGAGTAGAGAGGCACTTGCCTTGTATTGTGAGATTCTCTAGAACATAACGTTTAATCTAGAAGTTAAAAATCATGTAATGATAGTTTGTTTAAAAAAATAAATAAACAAAGTAGATTATAGAAATAAATCCAATGTGATCAATTTTATATCAGGGGAAATGGGAAGTAAGAGAGAAGGATAATATTTATGTCATTGGCAGCCAGCAAAAAAACCAAACCAAATTAGTTAAAAATATATCCAAATATACAGATAAATCCCCAAATATATGAATAAATCCCCAAATATCGGCATCACTAAGACGGGCAAGGGAGCTGAGCATGGAGATCACTACTCCCTCGCCGTCCGCACGCCAGCCGCTCAGCAGCCCCACTGGACCCCAGGGACTGCACGCTCAACACGCCAGCACTCCTAAAGGTAGGGGGGCTGGGTGGAGTAAAAAGTAAAAAAAATAAAAAAGTTTATGTGTGTCTGTTAGGGAGTTTGTATGTGTTTGTGTGTCTGTCGTATTCTGGCTCCAGCATCACTGCTATGTGCGTGAGGGAGCTGAGCAGGGAGATCACTGCTCACTGCTCCCTTGCCACCCACAGTCATTTTATTTTTTAAACCCCAATTGGGAAAGGATGCTGTAGACAGTTCTCTATATTGCAGCAGGATATTGTATTTTGAAGTCTGAGATTTGTAAATTATCTGTTAAACAAACTCAGGCTGGGACTGCTGCAAATCCACTGCTGCAGAGATGTCCTAGGAATGGCAGATGGTTACTGTAGGATCTGGTAGACTTAGAGATGTGGACAAAAGGCATATTGCACAGTCTGTTGCTCTACATAATTCATTTTCAGCAATTTCAGATTGTAGTGGTCTTACAGAGACAGGCTCAGGCACCAATTGTAGTGGTGTTATTGAGACAGGCTCAGACACCCAGTGTAGTGGTAATATGGAGACAGGCTCAGGCACCGAGTTTGTGGAACCACCATCCTCTATGCATAAGGTGAGCAAGAGTGCAGCCAAAGACAAAACGGACAAGATGAGGCCTGATAAAAAGCAGTTGTGGTTGGGGGACTCTATCTTAAGAGGTGTGGAGCTGGACCATAGTGGTCTGGTGAGATGTCTTCCCGGAGCTACTGTTCACAGAGACATGAGACGTATGTGTAATATTGTTAAGCGAGCAAAGCAGGAAGGGGAATTGGATGTACTTGTCCATCTAGGGACAAATGACTTGGCTTGCAATGAGGTTTCAGAGGTAAAGGAAGTTTTTAGTGTTTTTGCCAATGATATACGGCAGGCGGATGCGTATTAGAGACTTTAACTTGTGGCTTAGTGAATGGTGTCGGGAGCAAGGATTTGGCTTTATTTCTCATGGTAGCTCTGTTTGGAATGGAGATAAGCTGTACAAAAAAGATGGTTTGCATCTTTCTCAAAAGGGAACAAATGTTCTCAGTGAGCAGTTCAGAGGTTTTGCTAGGATGTATTTAAACTAGGGGGGGGCAAAAGGGTGATAAAACATCAATCCAATTGTCCCCGAAAACAAGGACAGAAGGTGTCTGTAGCAAGTGTGTTAAAAAATGATAAGCTTAGAGTCATGTCTACAAATGCTCGCAGTTTAGGGAATTAGATCCATGAACTTGTGGCAATAATGGCAACTGATAGTGTAGATTTAGTCGCTGTTACTGAGACATGGTACAATGAGAAAAATGACTGGGACATAGCAATACCAGGGTACTCTTTATATAGGAAAGATAGGGAAGGCAAGAAAGGGGGAGGGGTGGCCTTGTATGTGAAGGATAGCATAAAATCTAGCCTAATAAAAGTTAGTGAGGCAAACATAGAGTCCGTTTGGGCTACGTTAGAAACTTTTAATTGATCTTAAAACACACAATATAAAATAACCATTACGGTTTATTGGTGAAACGCGTAATGGTTATTTTATATTGTGTATTTTAAGATCAATTAAAAGTTTTTGGTTACTGACTGTGTCCATTCTCTTTTTATTGTATTTTTATGCACTTTTACTATTTTTACTTTCCTGGCTTTTTACTGTTGTTCCTGCACTTAAAGAAATCCCTGGTGGGGATCGTACCACCAACGCTTTACTAATAGAGCAGTGTTTCTGCTCTATATCTGTGAGTATTATTTTACTTACTCTTACTTATTCTTATCCAGTCGCCTCTTTTTATCCCTATTTGGAGCCTTGGATGACCAGACTGTGTTGACAGAAGCACTCCCTTTACATATCCCATAAGCGAGGATTGTATCGCTGTACACCCTTCACACCAGAGCTGGCCATAGCTCTTTTAAATGTGAGTTCTTTACCTTCTACTATTATTTTACCCTCTGGATTTTAGACGTATTGCACTACTGGCTGCCCCGTCTCCTGGTTTTTCATATATGCGAATACCCTGAGACACTAGGACGCACCCACTTCTACTAAAAGTCTACTCAACTATATCCCATCAAGCACAGTAACTCTACTGAGACTCCATTGGACTATTTTACACTATTTTATTTATTTATTATTTGTTACTGGCGCAGCCTTACCCCATTTCTTTAGATCTATAAGATTAGACAGAAAGAGGCTTAAAACAAGTTATAAGAGCCTCCAAATCACACACAGAAGAGAAAATAGCACAGTCAGTAAAAAAGGGGATAAAACATTTTTTAGATATATAAATGAGAAAAGGAAAGTAAAACAAGGATTAGTTAGATTAAAAACAAAAGAAGGAAGGTATGTAGAAGAGGATAAAGGTCTAGCTGACTGCCTCAATGAATATTTTTGTTCAGTATTTACAGATGAAAATGAAGGAAAGGGACTTCCGTTAAGAAAAAGAACAAATGAGTCATTTATTACACGTGAGTTTACAGAGGAAGAGGTTCTATTTCAACTGTCAAAAGTAAAGACAAATAAGTCAATGGGACCTGATGGAATACACCCAAAGCTGTTAAAAGAGCTTAGTGGTGTACTAGCAAAACCATTAACAGATGTATTTAACCAATCATTGTTAACAGGAGTAGTCCCAGAAGATTGGAAGTTAGCGAATGGGGTGCCCATTCACAAGAAAGGTAATAGGGAGGAGTTGGGCAACTATAGGCCAGTAAGCCATACTTCAGTAGTGGGGAAAGTAATGGAAACCATGTTAAAGGATAGGTTTGTTGAACATCTAAAATCACATGGATTTCAAGATCAGAGACAACATGGGTTTATTTCAGGGAGATCATGCCAAATTAATCTTATTGATTTTTTTGATTGGGGAACTAAAATAATAGATCAGGGATGGTGCAGTAGACATGGCTTATCTAGATTTCAGTAAGGCTTTTGACACTGTTGCACATAGAAGGCTTATCAACAGACATGTGCAATTCGTTTCGGTCCGAATATGAATTCGGACGAATTTCGGGCCATTCGGGTACTTCCAAATGTCCGAATAGGTGAATTGCCGAATTACCAAATGGTCGAAGTCACGAAATTACCGAATTTCCGAAGTGCTGAAGTGCCGAAGCACAGTATTGCCTAAGAACTAATATACTTACCCAGTGAAAGAATGAAGAATGTTACACTGTATACAATTTTAAATAAAAAGTATACAAACATAGCCAGGATTCAGCTGTAAGCATTTGCAACACTTACCACGGTATTAGGGAGCTATCTACTAAAAGGCTGAAAGACCTAAATTGGTCGTTCAGCCAAAGTTACTAATACTAATTAAATATTACTTAGTATTAGTAAATTATGCCCCTACTCGCTATATCGCGAGTAGGTGCATGTCTATTAAACAGTGAGCAGCCTATGGCCCCTCCAGGCCCCCACTCCTGAACGGGCTGCTCACTGTTTAATAGACATGCACCTACTCGCGGTATAGCGAGTAGGGGCAAAATTTACTAATACTAAGTAATTTTTACTTAGTATTAGTAAATTTGGCTGAAAGACCAATTTAGGTCTTTCAGCCTTTTGGTAGATAACTCCCTAATACCGTGGGAATTAGGGAGTTATTTACTAAGAGGTTGCACGAGAAGTGCCGAAGTCCCGAAATGCCGAAGTTCCGAAGTGTTGAAGTGCCGAAGTTCCGAATTGCTGAAGTTCTGTATTTCGGAATGCCGAACCGAACCGAAAATTTTCTCCATGCACATGCCTACTTATCAATAAACTGCAATCTTTAAGTTTGGATTCCAATATTGTTGAATGGGTAAGGCAGTGGCTGAATGACAGGCAACAGAGGGTTGTAGTCAATGGAGTATATTCGAAGCAAGGTCTTGTTACCAGTGGGGTACCTCAGGGATCTGTACTTGGACCCTGTAGCGGAGAGCTGATATTCCACAGGTTATCTCCACTCAAGATCCCAGTGAGGCTCAGGAACAAGTCTTAAAAATCCATAAGGCAATAATTCCAGCAGGCAAGACAATCCAATAATATCCCAACATCAATCCCAATGACTGGATGACACACAGCATCAGGAACTTTTAATCATACAACCTTCTTTTAAAGCTTTCTCCCATGAAGGGAGGGATTTACAGTAATTACACAATACACCAATCATACACGAGTTGCCACCCACACATCCCCTCCCCTTAGTATGACACATAATCCCATTATGCAAGACACAGTTCTCCTTGTTTTCTGGATGTACCCCTTTAAATATTACATCCCCTGGTAGCCCTGATCTGGGTGAAAGAAATATTCAAAAATCACCCAGATCGGACCAGGGGTTCGGGAAATTCCTGGAGTTATTAAAAAGACCGACCGCGCTGAAGTTAAAAGCCGAAAAGGGTTCCATACATTTTGGCCTGCGGTCGGTCACAGAAAAGGGAATAAAACACACAAATGACTTGGGTTATGAGAACTGGGGAGCATTTGGGAAAACCCCCTTGTTCGTGGGGTTCTTTCTAGTTCTTACATGAATTGGCGGCTGTATGGAGGTCTCAGCGTTGTTTGCCTGAGTGTCCGATTTGGTTCCAGACATTCGACGGCAAAACACCACTGTTCGGGAGTTTAAGATGGCCGCCGCCACGGGTTCATCTCCCGAATGGCGGCCACCCGGAGGAAAAAGTACACACTGCATGAATTGCCAATTACCTATTTGCAACATTGTTGCGAACGGTAATTGGAGGCACACTTATTCCTGGGGTGGTCTGATTGTTCGGTAGTTTCACTCGCATAATAACTGGAGTGATTTTACCGAACAATCAGTCGAATGCTGCATACACTTGATATACACATGGCAAAATTAAACTGAAAACATATGAATATACATAATTTTGAGGACAGCACAATGCCACCCGCTATAGACCCATTCTCTTTAATCTTTTTATTAGTGATATTAGGTCTTGATTGTAAGGTATGTCTTTTTGCTGATGATACTAAATTATGTAACAGGGTTGTTCCAGGAGGGATAAGCCAAATGGCAAATGATTTAGGTAAACTAGAAAAATGGTCAGAATTGTGGCAACTGACATTTAATGTGGATAAGTGCAAGATAATGCATCTTGGACGTAAAAACCCAAGGGCAGAGTACAGAATATTTGATAGAGTCCTAACCTCAACATATGAGGAAAGGGATTTAGGGGTGATTATTTCTGATGACTTAAAGGTAGGCAGACAATGTAATAGAGCAGCAGGAAATGCTAGCAGAATGCTTGGTTGTATAGGGAGAGGTGTTAGCAGTAGAAAGAGGGAAGTGCTCATGCCATTGTACAGAACACTGGTGAGACCTCACTTGGAGTATTGTACACAGTACTGGAGGCCGTATCTGCACAGGCGTTGTAGGGAGGCCACACACACTACTGAGCCTCATTTTGACTTGTTTTAAGGACAATACATCAAAGTTGGATCAGCCTGTAGTGTGCTTTTCCACTTTAATTTTGAGTGACTCCATATCCAGACCTCCATGGGTTGAAAAATTTGATTTCCAGGTTTTTATGATTTTGTTGTCAGCACATTCAACTATGTAAAGAACAAAGTATTTCAGAAGAATATTTAATTCATTCAGATCTAGGATGTGTTATTTTTGTGTTCCCTTTATTTTTTAGAGCAGTGTGTACATACATACATATATAGTTATACAAACACACACACATACAACACAGGGCTCGACAGATTCCAGGCGCCAGGTTGCCATGGCTAAGCCGCCCAGGAAACATTAAAGCTGGCCGCCACTAGGTGCAGTAATCTGCCTGCAGTTCCTCTGCTCCCATGCGCGCTGTTTAGTGACATGACATCACTCTGGCCTGGACATTACTACAGAGAGCGAGCAGAGGAGCAGAGAGAAACTGCAGTAAGATTAGAGAGGAGACACACTGGATACCAAAAGTATGGAGGCTAGGTGGATTTAAATTGAAATAAAAATAGCAATTTGTAAGTGTGTGAGAAAATGTGTTTGTCTATCATTTTGTGTGTGTGTGTCTCAGTCAGAGAGTGTGTGCCTGTCTCTGAGTATATGTTTAGGTACCTGCCTCCTCTGATCGCAGGAGAAAGATATTTTTACAAACCTTTTTTCAGGCGCCGTGCCAGTTTCGGCGTGGCTGGACCTGCCTCCATGGCCGAGTTTAGCAATGACAAGACAAGCTCACTGATACACACACAAGCTCACTACAGGCCAGCTCGGTTACAGGGGAGGTCACAAGATGAGACTGCCCCCCTTCCCCCACAGCCCAGCAGGAAGTCCTCCCAGCACAGTGCCACGGAGGGCCCATCAGTCAAGTGTGGGAACTGACAGCACTGCTGCTGCAGCTTATGAATGGAGACTCAGTGCTCCCAACTTCAATTTGGGGAAGCACAAGGGTGGGCACTGCATGATGTATGGGGGACCGGACCATCTCTATTTTCCCCTTATGGGCTAACCACAAACATTCTGGAGTGATGTTAGAGGTGTTATTCAAAGAGAAGTATTTTTACAATGTGGGCACCATTAAAGCCACTCTGTCCATTGGAGTATCTTATCATTCATCTCCCAAAAGGTCTTAGAATATTAACTGGATGGCTTCAACAGAATTGGACTGTGGTCTGGCCACATTATCATAGTTTTCAAAATGTAAAGAATAGGCTGGTTAACAAAAATGACTGTGCAAATATACTTATTTCCCTTGGAACAGCTTACCTACCCCCATCAGACTCTCCCCTAGTCTTCAATCATTTAAGAAGTACCTTAAAACCCATCTCTTCAGATAAGCTTATGGCCCCTCCTGCTCACTCCTAAAAAGCCACACTCCACTCTCTCCTCCAGTTCTGCTACATTCCCACCTTACTAGTTTCCATACCACTCAATGCCATTCCTATAAAATCTCAGTACTTTCTCCCTGCGTTGTCAGGTATGTCCCTTTTATTATATTTAATAAAATGTGAAATATAATTCTTAGTGGATTTGGGGATATATATCAAGATATGCTTATAATATACATATGCTATTCATAAAATGTTAATCTGTAATATCAATTAAACCAGATTATATATAGAATTTAATTTTAAGTGTATTTTGGTATTTATACATTACCAAAATACACTTAAGTTCTATATGTAGAATATGCTAATCAGATGATTTAACCAATTTATATCATAACGTTTTTGCAGTTTTGGATTCTGCCTGAACACTGTCAATCTCAGACCACTATTGTAGCCATGTGATCACATGACCCTGGAGGGCCAAAATGGCTCCTGAGACAGCCCCCGCAAACTGGGATTGCCGGTGCAGGCACGGGGGATGCATTCGATCGCAAGGGTGTACTATAATGCCCCAACGGTGTTTAGATTCACTAAATGCGGGATGGCATAGTCTGCCCTCACAGCATTAAGCTAGAGTTTTTTTGGTGACCATTATGTCCATTTATTCCTGTATTAGAAAAAAAATAATCCCAGAGAAATGTATCTAGAAACCATGCTTCGTTATGTGAACCAGTCAGTGTACATCAGTTTCAAATGCTGTAAATTGGTTTGGCGCTACTACAAAAATAAAAATGTTAACTCAGGAAACAAGGCATAGGAGCAGATAAAGACCCAAACCTGTGCCTTTCTAATTGGTACCGTGTAGTGTACCCACTATATTCCCAGACCTATTCAGTTTATGCAAGGTGAGACATTATACAATATTGCATTCCTATAGTAGCCCTTTAATATGTCAATCACTGCAGTGCCCACGATTTCTGATTTGAAAATCAGCAATATGGAGGAAGTCCCATAGTGTGTGCTTACTTTGTGCTGCCCACATGTAGAGAATATACAGAATTCTATAACAGCCTGAGTAGTAACAATGATACAATCAATGTTTGGATTATACAGGAAGATAGAACAGAGGTTCTGCCTGAAGCTTTGGCACCACTATTTTCCAATCTCTGTCCAGGTTGAATGCAGAGTGTTCAGGACCTGCGCGCCTTGCAGCAGTCTTTTTAAACTATCCTTTCCAGACCACTAGCCAGGCTACGAGTCACCGAGGGCAATACCTGTCAGCATGTCCATTGCCAGCCACACTGACTGAAACATGAAATCAGACACAGAAGACGACTTTCTACATGTTTTATTCCAGAACAGGAGAGTTCTTTATTTAAACAAGGATGCCATACTGTTTCAGAACATTTGTATACTTTGCGATTTTGCTTTCTACATTCTTCTCTGCCTGCCTTTTCAGTTTCTGAAATTAAAAAAGAAAAACCAATTAAAGATTTGATAGCCGATGAGGGGGGGGAAGCACTTTGTTCAATATGAGGAACAGGCAGTGGACCCAACCCCTTTACTCACCATGACCAGTTTCTTCTTCTCATAGTGAATTTTAGCCTTTCCCTTCCGCTTTTCTTCCAAAGTTGCTGTTACAGCCTGGTACTTCCATCCAACCTCATGGGCAAGACGACCCAGGAACGCAAACTGCAAGAAAAGCACCCACAAACTGATATCAACTCGGACGATTAGTGGGCCAGACCCTTCAAGCCTTATGGAGACTCTCCAAGCACAATACATGATCACTTCCCACATCTTATTGCATTCATTTACAACAAGCCAGCTGACTCAAACCGTTGGGCATACAAGTTTATGTTTCCCTTGAAACTAGACCGGAGGTGGCATACATTAAAAATTAACCCCACCCCAGCCAGGTTACTATAAGCACAAACTTATTTTAAAAGGCGTAAACTCAAACTAAACATAAAACCTTGTTCGTCTGTGCTCAAACCATAGCCTTACCTTACGCGTTGGCTTCAGGCGAACGACTTTCAATGCTGCAGGGACAACCATTCTCTTCCTCTGTCAAGACAAGACCAGTTTAAGAACAGGATATCGCGAGAGACAAGCAGTCTGTATATTACAGCCTATATCTACCTACCTTATCATAAGGAGGAGGAATGCCATCAAAAACCTTCAGTCGATCCAGAGCTGCCTGGCCCCTCTTTGTCTTGTGGGGGAGCATACCTAAATTGGATAAAAGGAGATTGTGTTAAACTTTCCTTCTTAGTTCTAGCAAATCAGCTATACAATGCTAATGTGAAGTACTAAAAACTATAAAAAGCTGCCCTAGAGTCCAATAGATTTATACATTGACTTCTAGCCTTGGCAACATCATGATTAGCAGTCACACTGACCAGAACTCCTTTGCACCAAATGGAGACATAGAAGGCATACGCACCTCTTACGGTCCTCCAGAAGATGCGGCTGGGGGCTCTGAAATGGTATGGCCCACGGGAAGGGTTGGTGTTCATGCGTTTACGGAGGAAAGCAAGATATTTAACTAGAGGGAAGATAAAAAAAATAATTTTTTTTAGCCTCAAGAGAAACATTTAGATAGAAAGGATATGGACTGGTCACTATGCACGACTAGAGGCACCACCAGACCATTCAATATATAGTCACAAGAACCTACACAATATGTCCAAGCTCTTCAAATCAATCCATTTACCCAGTGCAGCAAAACCATTAGTACGAGTTGTGCAACTAAATCTCTACACAATGTCCTCATTCAAATAAAGCGGACACAAAGCCACAAGCAGTTTGTTTTCACCCTCAAGCTTAACCGTTGCTACAGTTTATACAGCGGTCTCAGATGGTAGTGCATGTAGTTATCTCAGTGTCGTAAAACTCATTTGAGAAACTTAATCATCATCACTGACCAGAAAATAATCTGCGAATATAGATTACACACAGTAAATCCTGCTCCTCAAGATCCTAGAATTAATGGTGGCACAAGATGAGATGTACAGCTATAACGATCCCTTAGATACCTCACTGAAAGTATCCACCATGGTGGACTGCTCAAATTAAGAACCTTTTAAGTGCCTTAACACTTCCACTTGCAAAGTGGTAAATCTGGTACCATCATGTAAAATAAACCAGGCCAATTCCTTTATGTATCAGTGTTCCTTGTAAGACTGGACAGATTTAGCCTAAATTTTAAAATCTTTGCTGCAACAGTGGACATGATCAAGACTATTATGACCACACAAGACAGTTAAAAACTACTTACGTTTGTTACGGTAGAAGTTTCCAGAAATGTTTATTCCTTCACATCGCACAACTACAACTTTGCGACCTGAAATAAAAGCATTTTATTTAAATAAAGTAAGCCAATACAGGTCCAGGAAATTCAGCCGCAAGAGCATTCCTTGCACCATAACCAATACAGTATGCTTTGAGCATTGCTTCCAACTGCATGGTATGTAAATAAATGTAATTGGCTCAATCCAAAAAAGTTAAATAAATTCTCCCACCCCATAAATTATTAACCTCATGTAAGTTGTCATTGGGCAGCAGTGCCCGGGCATTCTTGTCTTCAGGGATTACGTTTCTTTGAAACCGCTTAACTCTAGAAGCTCTGCTTCCCTCCCCTTTGCACCGGAGTAGGAGAGATTGTTTCAGCAACACTCTTAGCCCCTGACTGGTCAATGAAACCGCACATACTAGATCGTACTGCCCCAATATAAAACAATCGTAACCGTTGCTACAGTTTATACAGCGGTCTCAGATGGTAGTGCATGTAGTTATCTCAGTGTCGTAAAACTCATTTGAGAAACTTAATCATCATCACTGACCAGAAAATAATGATCTCTGAATATAGATTACACACACCTCAAGATCCCAGAATTAATGGTGGCACATCATGAGACTATCAGGTGCAGCAAACTCACCAAGCAGAACTTGTTTAGCAACAATGGCGGCGAGTCTACCAAGGAGATGACCCCTACCGTCAATGACCAGAACCTGGAATATTAAAGAGAGGCTGTAAAAGGTGCCCGTTGCGTGCAATGTTGTTTCCATACCAGCTGGCATGTCTCAGATGGTAGTGCATGTAAATCTGTTTCACTATAAACTCAAATGAAACAAATACATCAATGACACAGATACACCATCTAATTATCCAACATTTTACAGCTAGACCTCAAGACTAAAACCATTTTAAAAGAAAATTGCGGTGAAATTTACATACTGTCAGTCAAGACATATTCGGCACGACTTTAACCCTTTAAGGACACATGGCACGTGTGACATGTCATTATTCCCTTTTTCCCCCAGAAGTTTGGTCCTTAAGGGGTTAAAGCATTCCTTTCATGGCAATGCCAACTTGGGAAAATATTAAAATATGATGTGTAAATATGGTGCGAGCTGCAGTAAATTCAACAGAGGAATCCTAGATTTACAGCATAGTGCACATTGGTATTAGGGAGGATTGACCAGTCCAGGGAGATGTACCAGCAGGGCCAAACGCTGCATAGAGGGCTGTCCATAGAGAACGGTGGGACTGGAATGAGGGTCAGCAGGCTAGTACGGAAAACCACATATTTACTTCCTTACCAACTGTTGGGTGATGGCGTACCAGTCTGCACATTAAATGTGTATTCTAGGTATGATAATGGAGATAGCCTTTAAATTGTAAGCTCACTGGTTATCAAGTTAAGCGCTTTGTATAAAAGCTTCAATGGCTAGATCTCAGCTTACAACCTTTTGTATTTGTGTATATTGTACAGCGCTGTGGAATATGTTGGTGCTTTATAAATACAAGTAATAAATAGTCCTCAGTACTGCAATGGTACCAACATGTGTGCTCCCATTTCTGTGGTTTAACACACAGGGTTCACCAGTCCATAGCTCAGTGTATTACAGAAGGAATATACATGTGATAAGCTTGGCCCAGGAATGGGGTCAAATAAAGACAGAATCAATATGCCATTTGTTAAATTGCTGTCAGAGCTTGGGGAACGATGCACGTTGGCACAAAAACCACTACAACAACAACAGCAGTATTTACAGTCCTAATGTTAATGCACAAGGGAGGAACCATTAAAGTAGTGATAGTTACCTGTTTTGCTGCCTTGGATCCGCCAACGTTCTTGTAAAAACAAGGGAGACTGACCTTGCTGGCATCGCCAAGCAGCTTCTTGGCCTGAAAATAAGATACTGAATTATACACACAGCAGACATAGAATGCGACTGCAGATAAGAACCATTCGGCCCATCTAGTCTGCCCAATTTTCTAAATACTTTCATTAGTCCGTGGCCTTATCTTATAGTTAGGATAGCCTTATGCCTATCCCACGCATGCTTAAACTCCTTTACTGTGTTAACCTCTACCACTTCAGCTGGAAGGCTATTCCATGCATCCACTACCCTCTCAGTAAAGTAATACTTCCTGATATTATTTTGAAACCTTTGTCCCTCTAATTTAAGACTATGTCCTCTTGTTGTGGTAGTTTTTCTTCTTTTAAATATAGTCTCCTCCTTTACTGTGTTGATTCCCTTTATATATTTAAATGTTTCTATCATATCCCCCCTGTCTCGTCTTTCCTCCAAGCTATACATGTTAAGATCCTTTAACCTTTCCTGGTAAGTTTTATCCCGCAATCCATGAACCAGTTTAGTAGCCCTTCTCTGAACCCCTCTCTAAGGTATCAATATCCTTCTGAAGATACGGTCTCCAGTACTGTGTACAATACTCCAAGTGAGGTCTCACCAGTGTTCTGTACAATGGCATGAGCACTTCCTCTTTCTACTGCTAATACCTCTCCCTATACAACCAAGCATTCTGCTAGCATTTCCTGCTGCTCTATTACATTGTCTGCCTACCTTTAAGTCATCAGAAATAATCACCCCTAAATCCCTCCGTTACCCCACTCTCTGTGTCCCCCACAGCCTTCCTAATAGGAGCAACGCCCCCGGGGCCCTCTCCCTGTATTTGCCTTCAGGGGCTCCCTCTCCCCTGTATTTGCCCTTAGGCCCCTCTCCCCCTGTATTTGGCTCCCAGGGGCCCCTCTCCCCCTGTATTTGGCTCCCAGGGGCCCCTCTCCCCCTGTATTTGGCTCCCAGGGGCCCCTCTCCCCCTGTATTTGGCTCCCAGGGGCCCCTCTCTCCCTGTATTTGGCTCCCAGGGGCCCCTCTCCCCCTGTATTTGGCTCCCAGGGGCCCCTCTCCCCCTGTATTTGGCTCCCGGGGGCCCCTCTCCCCCTGTATTTGGCTCCCCGGGGCCCCTCTCTCTCTGTATTTGGCTCCCGGGGGCCCCTCTCTCCCTGTATTTGGCCCCCGGGGGCCCCAGATCCCGCCGCTCCAGCCGCAGCCCCCACCTGTATGTCCGCCATGTTCTCCGGCCGGATGGAAAGAGAGCGAGGTCGGCACGGGGTCTCCTTAAACTGGGCAGGGACCGGAACTGGCGTCACTTCCGCCCGACACTGTCTGCTTCCGGTGCGGCCATGGGCGCCGCCATTACTGGCAACCGGGGGCCCCCATTAACTGCACCCGGGGCCCCTATACCGCTCCTGGGGGCCCCTATACCGCTCCTGGGGGCCCAGCGGAAATGGAGACTAACTGAGACCCGTCTGGCCTGTTATTGTTTATTATTAATTAATTATTTTATTTAGGACACAATATATTTCATGCTATAAATTTTTATTATTATTCATTAATTATTAATTATTTGTTATATTTTATTATTTATTTATTATTTATTAATTAATTATTGTTTGTTATATTTTATTTAGGACACAATATATTTCATGCTATAAATATTTATTATTATTATTAATTATTTATTATTATTATTCATTAATTATTAATTATTTGTTATATTTTATTATTTATTTATTATTATTATTTATTTATTATTTATTAATTAATTATTGTTTGTTTTATTATTATTATTATTTATTATTATTATTTATTATTATTATTTATTTATTATTTATTAATTAATTATTGTTTGTTTTATTATTATTATTTATTATTATTTATTATTATTATTTATTATTATTATTTATTTATTATTTATTAATTAATTATTGTTTGTTATATTTTATTTAGGACACAATATATTTCATGCTATAAATATTTATTATTCTCAGTTGATCCCTCCGGTGACACTGCGCTGTAATAAACGTCACATAATCGCTTCGCTCCCGGAATACAGCCACATCATGGTTAGACAAACAAACGTCAGCACCAACAATATGAGCTCCAGGAAATTGGGCCGAACGTCTGAATGACATTAATTAGCACAACCAATAAAGGTTAAAAGACACGAGTCACCCGGGTCATGTCATCGAAGCCATAAGGCAGCACAGGCGGCCACCTCGGCAAGGAGGGGGGCAGTATTACCGGGGGGGAGGAGGAGGGGAAGGGGAGAGGCATTACCGGGGTGGAGGAGGGGGGCATTACCGGGGTGGAGGAGGCGGCAGTATTACCGTGGAGGAGGCGGCAGCATACTTACAGGGGAGGAGTGGAGGGAAGGAGAGGCAGTATTACTCAGGTGGAGGAGGGGCAGTAATACCGGGAGGAGGGATCTAAGGTATTACCGGGGATGGAGGAGGGGGGGCAGTATTAATGGGGAGGGAGGAGGGGAAGGGGAGGGGCAGACACCAAAGTGGAGGAGGTGGCAGCTACCCGGGAGGGGGGTGTATTACCGGGGAGGAGTGGACGGGGCAGTATTACTCGGGATGAGGAGGGGGGGGCAGTATTATTGGGGAGGAGGCGGGCAGCATACTGTGGGGTGGAGGAGGGGCAGCATTACCGGGGAGCGGAGGAGGGGCAGTATTACTGGGGAGGAGGCGGCAGTATTAATGGGGGGTGAGGAGGGGGGGCAGTATTACTGGGGGGGAGGAGATCACAGTATTACCGGGGTGGAGGAGGGGGGTTAGCATTACCAGGGGAGGGTGAAGGAGGGGGGCAGTATTACCAGGGGGAGGAGGGGGGGCGCATTACCGGGGGATGGAGGAGGGGGGCAGTATTACGGGAGGAGGAGGGGAAGGGGAGGGGCAGTATTACCCGGGAGGAGGCAGCATTACCGGGAGAGGAAGCAGTATTGGGGGAGGAGGGACGGGCAGTATTACCGGGGATGGAGGAGGGGGCAGCATTACCGGGGATGGAGGAGGGGGTGGTATTACCGAGGGAGGGAAGGGGAGGGGCAGTATTACCCGGGAGGGGGGCAGTATTACCGGGGAGGAAGCGCAGTATTGGGGAGGATATGGACGGGGCAGTATTAATGGGGATGGAGGAGGGGCAGCATTACCGGGGATGGAGGAGGGGGGCAGTATTACCGGGGGGGTGGAGGAGGGGGGCAGTATTACCAGGAGGGGAGGAGGGGCACCATTCTGTTTGGTAATTCGAATGGTACTTTGACAGTTTGAAATAGACCGGCCGCACAGCCTAACTCTCTGAAACTGTTTTGGGCAGGAAACCATGCTTGTGGTCGATCAAAAGAGATTTCCAGGAATTTCCTGAACACCTGCTCTGATCTGGGTGATTTTTGGATATGATGTTCACCCAGATCAGGGCTATCAGGGGATATGTTGTATTGTGGGGTACTTATGAGACTTTGTAAAATATGTGTTTTTTATGCTTGGGGATAATTACATTAATCCATTATCTGCCTTAATTGTATCACAGGCAGAGGGGAGGGATTGTGTACTGTATGTGGGAGTGTCATTCCTTATCACATTGTGTAGCGGATGGCACTGGGCTGTCCTGAAAACTGCATGTGTGTAACTGTATTCGTGTAAATTGCAGGTTTATATGTGTCTAAATAACGTGTATTCATCTGATTGTTCGGTAGAATCATTTGAACAAACTAAGGGAATGAAACTACTGAACAGTCAGACCTCCCCTGTGTGAAGTGTGCCTTCAATTACCCGTTGCAAAAATGTTGCGAATGGGTAATTAACAAGCTGTGCAGTGGGTCCTTTGTTCTCTGGGTGGCCGCCATTCGGGAAACGAACATGTGGCGGCTGCCATTTTAAAACTCCCGAACAGCAGTGTTTTGCCATCGAGTGTCTGGAACCCAAATCGGACACTCGACTAGGCAAACACCGCTGAGAACTCCATACGCACGATACGTTCGCTTCCAAACTACCGAACGGCCCCTCGTTCGGTAGAAAGAAACAACCGAACGAGGGGATTCATGCGAACCCTACCTGATCTCTGTAGCCTTAGCCTTTCGTGCAATTTGTTCCCTTATACTGTGACCGACCGCAGGGCCCCATCGCATGGAACCCAATTCGGCTGTTCTCTCCAGCGCGGTCGGTCTTTTTATTACCTCCACGAATTTCCAGAACGCCTGGTCCGATCTGGGTGATTTTTGGATATGTTGCTCACCCAGATCAGGGCTACCAGGGGATGTGCCATTTAAAGGGGTACCCCTAGGTTTAGGGGTACATCCAGAAACTGGGGGTATTGGTGTACAGTATAAGGGGATTATGAGTCAGCCTGAGGGGAGGAGATGTGTGGGAGGTTACTAGAGCAGGATTGGATACTGTAATAATTAATGGAAATCCCTCCCTTGCATGGGAGCATGCTTTATAAGGCCACTGTGGAAATAAAAGTTTAGTTCTGCCCCTGATGCTGTGTGTCGTCCAGTTATTGGGATTGCTGTTGGGATATTGCTATATTGTTTTCCTGCTGGAAACCTTGTTTTATGGATTTATAACTACTTGTTCCTGAGCCTCACTGGGACCTTAAGTGGAGATAACTTGTGGAATACTGGATCTCCGCTACACATTGTTTTTATTGGCTTGCATACTTTGTGTCCTGTGCCTAACAAGGTCCACTTGGGTGTCAACCTTGTTGAGAAAATTGTATAAAAGGCCAGTGTGCCCCATTAAAGCTGAGTTCCTGTTTTACCCTCAAAATAGAGCCTCATCTTATGTGTGGGAGGAAAGGCTGCATCTACCCTGGGGATTGCTATATCACACTACTCCCCAGGAAGTTTAATCACTAAGCTCTTTTAAGAGCTATTCCTGCTACTCTCTCTTGGAGGAGAGGTTCACCCAATGGAAGCTGGATCATGGTTTTGGGTCCAGGGTGCGTGGAGGACGGCGAGTCCCAGCCGTAAGCTGTAACGTTGGATGTGGGGACTGCAGTGCTGATGGTGTCTGGTGGAGTGCTTGGAGGCCTCGGTGAGCACTAGGAGCATCCATCGGCGGAGCTACCCAAGCGGGGTACAGGAAGCTCTGTTACACAGGCAAAAGGCCGCACCTGTCAAAGTGCTGCCCGGAGACATGGCGCCACTGGGATGGGCCAGCCCTTACATATACAGACACAGATGCACACACACAGATACACAGACATACAGATGCACACATTAACACAGACATACAGATGCACACACAGATATACGGACATACAGATAGACAGACAAACACACAGATACACAAACATACAGATATGCACATTGATACACAGATATGCAGATGCATACACTGACACACACACAATACACAGACATACAGATACACACACACACAAAGATGCAGACATACAGATACACACTAACAAACACACAGACATACAGATACATAGACTGACACATATACACAGACTCACACACTGATATACAGACATACAGATATGCATACTGACAAACACTCAGATACACAGAGATGCACAGACATGCACATTGACAGATACACAGACATACAGATACACACTGACACATGCAGACATACAATTACACACACTGAAACAGATATAAAGACATACAGATATGCACATTGACACACACATGCACAGACATACAGATACACACATTGAACCAAACACAGATACACACACACTGACAAACACACAGATACACAAACATACAGATATGCACATTGACACACAGACATACAGATGCACACACTGACACATAGACAATACACAGACCTACAGATGCACACTGACACACATACAGTACACAGACATACAGATGCACACTGACACACATACACACAAAGATACAGACATACAGCTACACTAACATACATACAGATACAGACAGATACATAGGCTGACAAACACACACACTGACACAGACATACAGATATGAACACTGACAAGCTCTCACATTCACAGACTTAGAGATACACGCAGACATACATATATGCTCATTGATACACACATGCACAGACATACAGATACACACAGATACAGATACACTGACATACATACAAACAGACATACAGATACAGTGACACACACACACATAGATACACAGACATACAGATACAAACACTACATACATACTGACACCCAAAACACACATACACAAACCTTTTGGGTGGCTTCTGTGGCTGAGGCTGTTGGGAGTTGAGGTCCCGTTCCAGTCCTCTCTGCCCCTCTCCCTTCGCAGCCCCTTCCCGCACAGCTTAATTATAGATGGGAGGAAGTGTGCGTCTCAATCCCAATTCCTCCCAGAACTCCAGTTAGGTTTAAAAGGGCCCATTTGCACTATTA